AATTAGTAAATACACAAACCAATCAACCAGAGTGAAAAAAAATAATCATAAACTTTACAAAAAATCATAATAAAAATGAACAAAAAAAAAGGGGATAAAAAGAGATAAAAAAAACCCCTAAAAAAAGCCCATAAAAAGCCCACCCTTTAAATTATTCCTCCCAAAACCGTTTAAAAAAATTGGGAAGTCAAACAGGGCAAAAGGAAAAAAATCATAATAATAATAAGCCCAAATAAATAAAAAAATCAGTTAAGCTGAATGAATGTCCGAAAAAAATTTTAAAAGGAATTCAAACACATAGAGAAAACACGTAAAAAGTGAAACCCTTAATACAGAGAATGGGGAAATTTTTCAGAAAATATTGTCAGATAAAAGTAGGCTAAAAAATATATAAAACAAAAGGGGGAAAAAGACATAAACCAATCAACTGTTAGAAATTTAAGCATTTGAAAATCTCCCTTTTCAATGTTATGGCCAAAAGGGGTTTGTAAAGGGGGGGCCCGGGTTTAAAAACTGCGGGGTTTTAACTGCGAATGTGCCGTTTCCCTATTTTTAACACTAAATTTCGGTCACGCTTCTTTTCAGCCCCCCCCTCTGATGAGGGTGCCCTGTAGCACGAAAGGCCTAAGGAGGAGCTGGGGCAGACCCGTGACTTTCATTCCCAACCGCCGGGCCACGAGGGGGCCCCCGGCGGTCCCCACTACAAAGGGGGTCAGTACTGCTGCATATCTATTTTTCATTATTATTGTTTTTTCATGCATACTGCCCTTTTTACTGCCCTTTTAAACTCTATCAAAAAAAGCACTGATTTTTGGGTTTTTACTAAAACTATCCTGGATCTGTTTCGGGGGCCCTATTTGGAGTTTTTTCATTCCCACAGTAAAAAACATTTTTCCCATCCTGAGAGGAGTTTTCCTTTTTAAACCCTGGGCCCTTTTAAGGGGGCCCCCCTTGCCTTTCAAAGATTTCGTGAGACCCCCCCAATGGGGCGATCCCTGGCTGCCAAAACCTTCTGATGTTCCCTTCCCTTATCCCAAAATCACACTTGGCTTTTCCCTATGGGGTTTCCCCGGGTGAGTCGCATTTTACTATTTTGACAGGTGGGGGCCGGGGAATTCGAAATCCAAACAGGTTTTTCTCCCGGATCCCTTTTCCCATTAAATTTTTTATTTGGTTAACCCACTCATGTGATTACCATTCATTGTTTTTATTCACCGGGTTTAAAGCGCTGCCTTTATCTTTTTTTAAGGTCTTTTTTTAATATTAAACCCCTGCAGACTAAGACTGGGTTTACCATTAAATTCCCACGTGGGGTAAAAGGAAGCGCCCTTTAATTTTTGACAATATATGTATTTTGTCCCACACAGCCAAAATTCCTACAGGGGAAATGCTTACTCCATCAAAAAAAAAACTTGGGAAAAAACCAAAAAGGGGGGAAAAAAAAAATTTTTTGAGGTTTTTTTTTTTTTATATTTGCATGTGTTGAGATCCACTGGGATTTTTAACTCTTTGAGTACCTTAGCAAACCTTCTATGCCATTCTTCAGTCTAGTACATACAATACAATTTCCTTAATTTTGATTTTTTAATAACATTTTACCCTACAAATTACTATAACTAAAGTGCCTCTCTGTTTAGTTACATATTTTTTATTGTACATATATTTTCCACCTTTTGGATTCACTTTAAAAAGGTTTTCGTCTTTTTTTTTGTTTATTTTATCCAGTGTACCCCAAAACCTGTACAACTATTCCTTACAAAGTGGCCACTCGCTAACGAGCCACGAAATGCATTGATTGGTGTTTTAAAAAACCTGTTTTTTTAGGATCAACAAATGCCAATCTTCCTGAAAAGTCAAATTAGCCTCATCCTTTTTTACCATTGTTCACAGGATCTGACTGCAACCTAGTGCAGTGCAAGAATTTCCAGAAAGCCCTGACAAACACGAAGTTTGACCAGCCATACTTTGTGTGCTGAGACAGTCATTTACTTTCAAAGGCATGCTGACTCTAGGACCGGTATCCAGCAACCTTATGAATATAAGTAAATGCTTTAATATACTTTTTCCCATACTTTTTCACATCTTTACAAACTAAAATATACTACTCTTAGAAAGGATGTCTCTTGTGGCTTTTTATCCCTTTTTTCTCCTTGTCTCTGTTCATCACTGGAGCACTACATTGACATGCTATATAGGGTTTGAAAAAGGTGCCCTATAGTGGACTAAACCAGTTTCTAGGTGTTTAATACACAAACTGGCTGACTAATAGTAGAAAAAAGCCTGTTGAGATGCTGGATTTCCTCTTCATTGAATATTTTAAAATGGCACAAACTTGCCACAAAACATTCAATATCTTGTATATATTTTTTTATGAACCTACATTTAAGTATGAATGCATGTAATTGATCTTTTAAGGTGCTCCATAATTTTGTTGGCGAGATATAAAGAAAACTGTCGGTTAGAAAAAAAAATGTTAGCTGTGTATAATATTATGAACACAATAAAATATGGGGATTTCATTCTACTCACCATAGTTTCAGTGGCCTGTATTGACAAACATCCTTTATTAGGGTACTCATGTTAGCGATTTATGTGTTCAAGAGGCAAATCCAACTGAAGATAAGGTGGAGATTCATTGTTCTGCAATTGCTGGACTGAAGCCATATTCTCAAGAACTGTAGTAATTCAGATCCATAATCAAATTGTTACAGATATGTCAAGTTATTTTAGATATTTATTGCTAAACATTTTTTTTCATTTATGTTAACTCTATGTGTAGCTTTAAACAGCTCATAGTCATAAATTAAAGCAGTAAATAAACCCATAAACAAAAACGTACAGGATAAGGTTCACCTTTCATAACTATATTAACGGTGTAAAGACACTGGCCCCTGCACCCAGCCTCAATCCCTGTTCTGTGATGGCTAGTGGGGGATCTTCTCCCTCCCCACTAGGCTGTCACAATCTGTAAAAAAAATGCAGCCGTTCGAGGCTCCCGGCCCACGGCCACTCATTCACAGTACTCTGTGAATGAGAACATAAGTGTCCAACAGTCTTTTCGGTTGTCGGCTTTGTAGTTCTCAATGAAACTACCACAGCGCTGTGGAATGCCCGTGGTAGTTCACTTCAGTCTTGAATAGTCTGCCTGCCCGTTACGAGATGTTACGGGCACACAGATGTACTGACAGGTCTGCAGAAGACACGCACGGCACAGCGATCTGCTGATTCACTGGTGCGTTTTAGAGGCTCCAGAAACTAAAAAATAAAATGCACATTTTTTTTTACCTGGGCATTTATTAGTATTTTGTTAAAAGGTGAATTTTATCCTTGTATTGCAGATTACCAATCCTTAAATTTAATGGTTTACAGTTTTTTTTTTTTCTTTTTTTCCTTTATTTCACCTGGTGATTCTGGTCAGTAACACTTTCTGTTTTAGGTGTCTGCATTCTGGACAAAATAGTAAAGCAGACACCTTTGGACTAGCAGTATTGTCATTCTGGGAGAGGGTAGTCTTAGGCTGGCAGATTTAGATGGAGTTGACTATAACTCCAGCTAACACTTTATATGTAGTACTGCAAACAGTTTCATCATTTTTGAGGGATAAAGGTTTTACACAACTTAACAAATCTGACCATTGTAGGCACCTGTCAGTGGTAAAATATGATCAGTTTTATTCACCTCTAACTGAAAGAAACCCTAACCAAAAATGCATCCATCACATCCAAGAATTGATTAACTGCAATATAATAAAACATTTGCATTTGGGCTTAATACTGCTTTAAAAAATCCTTTCACTACCCCTTGGCAACCGCTTCTCTCCTTGTACATCTAAACTCCAGCCTAGCTTAGTGACCTGTATATTAAATAAAGGTTCTTTGTGACCTGAATATTAACCCTTCACACATCTACACACATTAATCCTAATCCTCCTACTGTAATGTGCCCAGAGCATTAACCCCTTATTTATTTTTTTATCTGGAGTTTATATAGCGCCAAAGGGATTATTGCTCAGCGCTGTACAACAGAGGGGGGGACAATACATGAAACAGTACAGTAACAACAAACAGCACACAAGGGGTAAGAGGGGCCCTACTCTTTCGAGCTTACAATCTAGGAGGGAGGGGGTAGAGGTAACAGGAGATGAAATGGCTGTCGGGGATGGAGTGGTAGGGGAGGATGGGAAGGGCAGCAAGCGGCTGTTAGGTGAGGGTGGGGGTAGGGCTTCCTGAAGAGGTGGGTTTTCAGGGAGAGCGCGTCGGGGGGGGGGGGGGGGGGTGGGGGGGGGGGTGGGGGGGGGGGAGAGATGAGTCCAGAATGACGCCAAGGAACCTTGGCTTGCTGGGGCGGGATTGATGGTGGTGTTGTTGTTGTAGAGCGATGGAAAGGATGGGGGGGAGGGGCGCGGGAAGGGGGGAAAGACGAGAAGCTCCGTTTTGGAGGAAGAGGTTGAGCCGTGAGGTAATGGAGCGACATCCAGTCAGATAGATGTCGTTTAGGAGGTGAGTGATGCGGGCGGAGAAATGTTGGGGAAGTGGGTGAGGGGTGGATAGGTAGATTTTGAAGTATCATCAGCGTAGAGATGGTAAATTGAAGCCGATTGGGAGTGTTATGAGTTTGCAAGGGAGGAGGTGAGAGATGGAGAAGAGAAGGGGGTCCAAGGACAGAGCCCTGGGGGACCCCAACAGAGGGGAGGGGGAGGGAAGGGGAGGTGGCACCGTTGTATGGAAAACGCTGAAGGAGCGTTGGAGATAGATTAGGACGAGAACCATGGAGATGAGCGGTGTCTCTGATGCCAAGGAAGAGGAGAGTAGTTTATTAAGGAGGAGGGGGTGGGTCGACTGTGTCAAAGGCCCACGGAGAGGTCTAGGAGAAGGAGGAGCAGAGTAGTCCCGCCTTTGGCTTTGGCGAGGTTGTAGATCGTTGGTGATTTTGAGGAGGGCAGTTTTCGGTGGAGTGTAGGGGAGCGGAAGCCCGGACTGTAGTGGGGTCAAGGAGGTTGCTGTCAGTTAGGTGGGCGCTTAGAAGACGATCGTAAGACCAAGCGCTCAAGGAGCTTGGAAAAGTGGAGTGGCAGCAGGGAAATTGGTCTGAGGTTGTTGAGGTCAGTGGGGTCCAGGGAGGGCTTTTTTGAGTAATGGGGGTGAGTGTGCGCAGTGTTTTAGTGGGGGATGGGGAAGACGCCAGTAGAGAGGGAGAGATTGAAATGTGGGTAAGGGAGCGGATGAGGGAGAGTAGGGTGGTGACCGGAGGAGTTGAGAGGGGAAGGGTCCAGGGGGCAGGTAGTGAGGCGGGCTTCTGAGAAGACTGGTTGGTGACTTCTCAGTGGTATTAGTAGGGCTGAAGGAGTGCAGTGATGGGGGGCTTACGGTAGGCAGGCCTTGGGTGTGGTGGTGGGCAGTGCCGTTGCGAGGTCAGAGGAGGGGAGAGATGAGGGGTGTGATGGAAGAGGGGGAGGGCTAGATGGGAGGTAGATTGCAAGTTGACTATGTCCTTGCGGATTTGCGTCAATCTAGTGTTGTGGATGAGTTAATGATGGCAATCTCGTGGGCGGTAAGTTTTGGGGTACTGAGTGGGAGGATGGGGGGGGGGGAGGCAGGGAGTTGAAGGTGGAGAAGAGTCGGCGAGGGCAGGTGGAGTAGGGTGTTGATCAGGTTAACGAATAGCCTGCTTGGCGGGTGGAGGGAGGTGGTGTAGGTGAGGGAAGCAGAGATTTGTAGAGGGGAACATAAAAGAGGGGACTTGGTTTTGCGCCATAGTCTCTCCAGCGCACGACTGCGACGTTTGTTCGTTGGGCATTTTGTATGGTCGTTCTGCCATGGTAGTGGAGTTAGGGTCTGGGTTTGATACTTTGCGTGTGGTTCGGGGTGCCAGAGAGTCCTAGGGTTTAGCTGATAGTGAGTTCGTTGTACGAGGTGGTGGCTTAGGTCAGGACATGCGACAGTGGAATGATGCTGTCGTTTGTAAGCGGTCAGCAGCCGAGTGGAGGGGGGCGGGTGCAGGTTGCGAGGTTGCGGCTGGTGATGGTTTGGGCGCACTGGGGGGGGGGATGGGGGGGGGTTATGAAGGGGAGATGGAGAACGTGAGGAGTGTGTGGTCGAGAAAGATAGAGTGGGAAAGGGGGTGTTAGTGAAGTGGTTAAGGGGACAGAGGTGGGAGAAGACAGGTCCAAGGTGTTCCCATGTGATGTGGGTGGGAGGATTGAGATGTATTGTGGGTGAGCGCGGAAGGAGGAGGTTAGGTGGAGGAGTTGGGGGTAGCTGGGGTGTTGGTTGATGGGGATGTTGAAGTCCCCGAGGATGATGGTCGGTAGCTCAGAGGAGAGGAAGAAGTGAAGCCAGGCGGCGAAGTCACCCAGGAACGCGGGCTATGGATCCGGGGGGGGGGGGCCTGTAGATCACACTGCGATCCTTAGGGGGGGGGGAGGGGGGTGGGTGAGAAGGAGCCGATGGATGCAGTGAGCCTCGAAGGAGGACGAGAGGTTTAGGGAGGCGTGGGGGTAGTGGTTAGGGAGGACCTGGAAGGTGCTCAGCGGTTGGTGATAGGAATGAGCAGGCCTGACACCATACCACCTTTGTGACCGCTCAGTCTTGGTGAATGGGACCAGACGAGACCTCCCAATGGGAGAGTGTCGCAGGGGAGGTAGAGTCAGTGGCCTGTACCCAGGTTTCGGGTGATGGCTAGGAGGTTGAGGGAGCGGGAGATAAAGAGGGTCATGGATGGCAGTTAGTTTTGTTGCAGACCGAACGGGCTTTCAGAAGTGCAACCGAGAGAGCAGGGGGGTCCCTGAGGAGGGGGGGTGAGGGTTGGTGAGGGGCCCAGGGTTCAGGGAGGCGATCTTTTTTGGGATGGAGGAGAGGAAAACGAGGAGGAGAAGTGCAAGGTGGCATGCTAGGGGTGAGTGCAGTGCTGTTCGGGTCAGGGGAAGGTGAAGGGATACGGGTCAGGGCGAGGTGATGTGGAGAGTCTGTATCACCGTGGAGGAGTCCACTAGAGTCCTTCTGTAGGGGGAGAGTGGGAGTAAAGGGCAGCAGCTGGCTGGCTGCAATCTGTGGGTGCAGTATGCCTGGCGTCCGAGGGGTTCTTCAGTGGGTCCGGTGGATCGGCGAGTGGAGGGGTCGTAGGGTGCGATGCTCTGGGGGTGTTGATAGGCACGGCATCTGGTGATGCTGGCGGCTCGGTGACTGGAGATTCGCTGGGTGGGTCCGGGTCCGGGAGATTCGCTGGGCGACGTCTCGATTCGCTGGGTGGTCTGGGTGTTGGGTGTCCAGAGGTGGTAGCTGGGTGCCCGGTAGCTGGGTGTCCGGTAGCTGGGTGCAGGGTGTCCAGGGGTGGTAGCTGGGTGCCCGGTAGCTGGGTGTCCAGGGTTGGTAGCTGGGTGCCCGGTAGCTGGGTGCAGGGTGTCCAGGGGTGGGCCCAGAACCGATGTATGGGCTGGGCATCAGAGCAGCGATCAGTGGGCCTGAGCTGGTTCCTGGTGGTCAGGATGGACACAGGGCTAGTGAGGAGGGCCCTGCGGAGGCTGGGCACCTTATCGGTGGGGATCGGTGGTGGCAGCTTACCCGTTCTGGTGGTGCTGCCGTGCAGGTATCCTGGGGTGGTCCTGGGCTGCTGTCAGCTTGGTGGTCCTTGCTAGGGCTGATCTTTGGTGGGGTGGTTGTTGTCACCTTGCGCCAGGCTGCTGTGGGCCCTGGAGACGGTGGAGAGGGTCAGGGGCCGCCTGGGGAGGACCACCCCGCTGTGTGTCAGAGGGCAGGAGCCGAGGGACGGGAGAGCGGCGGATTCGGCAATGCTGGGTATTTGTCGCAAGTCGGCCCGTGAATTAATCGAGGCCAGCGGCTTTGCCGGTTGTAGTAGGCCGCGATTTCGGAGGGGGCCCAAAACTGCTCGGGGGACCCCTCCCGGATGCTTCACTAGGGGCCGCAGGTGTGTCGGGGCCCTCGTAGTGTCCCGTTGCCGCCCGGATGGCAGCGGATTAGGCAGTGGGGCGACGGAGCTCTCTGATGGCATGTTGCTCCGTCGCCATCTTGGATATATGTATATAACCCCTTCACTATCTACTCCCTCTGTGTATGACCTGTATCTGTTGTATCTAATGCACTTTTACCAAGCACCATGTTTTAAAACCCCTCAATATCAGCAGCTTTCTAAAAGGAGCAATTTGGGGGGTATTTTTCCCTGTCATGGCATTTTTACGTGCCCTCATGTATTTACTGGGTAGGTCTAAACGAGGAATAAAAAGTCAGCACTCATCACACAATAATCAGCATTTCATGCTTTGCTGTGTGTAGCAAATGTGTAATGGGATATCTGTCAAAAAATGATTGTACCTATTTTTTGTTAGGAAAAAAGAAAGCAAACTAGGTCAAAAGGTATTAATTGATATTAAAGAAAATTAATTAAAAAAAAATAACAAACATGTTAGACTTACCTGCTCTGTGCAGCCCCGATCCTCCTCTTCTTGGGTCCCCCACCATGCTCCTGGTCGCTTACCCCTCCTTCCAACTGCCCCAGACCAAGCAGTTTGCTATGGGGACACCCAAGCAGACTCGCTCCCGAGCAGCTGCTCTGTGTGTCCATTCACACACAGAGCTGCATCTTGGCCCTACCCCCTCTCTTCTCATTAGCTCACTGGTTGTGAATGACAGGAGCGAGAGCCAATATACCACGCTGCACGGCAGTACCACTACCAGGATCCCCAGACATTGTCAGGTAAAGTATTTCAGGGCTGACATATGCATATTATATCAGACAGAAGACAAAGGGTTGAGAATATGTTAGCTTATACATGACATTTAATTGGTCATCTCCATCAATATGATTAAAATGTATTCACATAAATGTCCTACCTTTAAAATGGATATGTTGAGGTATAAAACTAGGATTTTAACTTTTATGCTGCACTTCACTTCACTATTACTGATAACATTGCCAGAATGCCGTAAGGAGTCCAGAATCTCAGTGTTGTGCGTTCTGGACGTGCAGCAGGCAAAGTAAACAAGTAGCAACATAAACCATGAAGTAGAGTCCCACAATCAACCACACCAATATGCCAAACACAAAGATGCAGACTAATCTTCACTCCATGTTTGTCACAAGGTGACTCCTTTCTTTTTGCTGCCTCAGGGGAGTAGGTAAAAGAAGATACCACAGCAAGCAAGACAGAGCAGATTTATCAATATAAGGCAGCCAATGCAATGGCACAAAAAGTTCCCAAGTCAAAAAAACACAGACAGCACAATAAAGATTACCGTATATACTCGAGTATAAGCCGACCCGAATATAAGCCGAGGTACCTAATTTTACCACAAAAAACTGGGAAAAACTATTGACTCGAGTATAAGCCCCATCATTAGTATCAGTGGGAGGAATAGTGCCCCATCATTGGTGTTAGTGGGAGGAATAGTACCCCATCATTGGTATCAGTGGGAGGAATAGTGCCCCATCATTGGTGTCAGTGGGAGGAATAGTGCCCCATCATTGGTATCAGTGGGAGGAATAGTGCCCCATCATTGGTGTCAGTGGGAGGAATAGTGCCCCATCATTGGTATCACTGGGAGGAATAGTGCCCTATCATTGGTATCAGTGGGAGGAATAATGCCCCATCATTAGTATCAGTGGGTAGGAATAGTGCCCCATCATTGGTGTCAGTGGGAGGAATAATGCCCAATCATTAGTACAGTGACACCAATGATGCGGCACTATTCCTCCCACTGACACCAATGACACTTGCTGACCCCTGTTGCAGTATGGTGCTGCTGCAGCCAGCATATGTGGTTGCAGCAGCACCTCTGCACTGCACACTTACCGGCTTTTTCCCTCACTCGATTTTCGCGGGTCCGCTCGGCTCCGCCTCCTCGCCCGTGATTGGCCGCCTGTGTACCTTTCCTGAGCTACAGTTCTGGCGGCCAATCACCGGTGAGGAGGCGGAGCCGAGCGGCAGGAGTGAGGGAGTGGCTGGAGTGACGGAAGGAGCAGCGCTTCCTGGATGGATCATCGTGGGAGCCAGGTAAGAGACAGCAGCCCTCTGCCCACCCCTGTACGCAGCGCCCCCCTTGACGGAGCCTCGCGCCCCCCCTGACATCTGCAGACGTTGACTCGAGTATAAGCCGAGGGGGCCGTTTTTCAGCACAAAAATGTGCTGAAAAACTCGGCTTATACTCGAGTATATACGGTATAAACAATGCAAACACAGTAAAGCATTTCCAGTAAGATTAATAAAGTATACATTGATAGACAATTATAGGCCAGCATAATACCAAATTATATTTATAAACCTACATTTTATTTAAAAAAAAAACTCTACAGGTAGTCTGCCACTAAGGTAAGTAAATTGTTAGACAGTGCTAATTTGTTTTCTTCTCTCTCAGGTGGCGGCATCTTCAGTGTGGGCTTCACAGCCGGGTGCCCACTGCGCTATGTGAATAGTCCCGTAGTTTTCTGGGACCTGTCTTGTGTCCCAGAAGATTACGGGGGGGAGGGATGACAACTTCTGCTTCCGATCGCCTTAGGCGATCGCACCAGAAGTGGGAGCAGGTATCCGCTTTAAGGAGGAATGGGCTGCCTTCAGGTATACCTGCCCCTACGTTATCCACTGATATATAAGCTCCAAATATGGGGAGACTCTCAAATTTACGACTGAAGCATGAGACGTTGTGGCGCCACTCAGAAGCTGAGTGTCAAAGGAATAACCTCACTGACAGATATAGGGGAGCAGTGCCCCAGTGTCAGTCCAGTCGCTTACATGGAAGGAGAAGAAAAAGACACCACTCTCACCTCCCATGCAGTCCCGTGTGTAGAGGATGGCCTCAGCCGTCACGCCGGCCATGCCCACTGACGTGTTTCACGCCGTCCAACGGGGCTTGATCACAGAGGAGTGTAGGCTAACAGGCGCTCTAAGCTTTTATGTGCACCATTGGCTAAAATAAAAGCAGGTGTGTGGTAAAGGGATGTGATGATGGAAATGGGAAGAGAAAGAAAATCCTCCTCTATTACTTTTCTGGAAAAAACCCAAACTTTGGGGTTTTACTTACTTTCAATGATAATTGTACACAATGCTGGCACAGAGAGCAATAAAACTGACAGGGATTCTAATCCCTCTCCACTCTATCCAAAGTTAAAAAAAAAGTTTTACCTTTAGTCATACTTAGCACAGCTGTCACATTTTTAAAGTGAAAAGGAAAGCTGCTGGTATATATATCTTAATGAAACCCCCACCCCCAATTCCATATACATCCATTTTAGAAAGTCAAAGCTCAGACACACCTGTCACTTCACGTAATGCAAGTTCCCATAAATGTCACATTTGGGAGATTGTGTCATGTAGTGGGCACATGCCTAAGCATAAGCTTTCTGTAAACCAGGTTATTGGAGACTTTGAATTTGGAGGGATTTTGGATGCAGAGTGGAGAAATATAAAACTTTAGAGGTCTGCTTTCACAGCATCAGCTTAATTTTGATATGTCTTTTTGTGGGTGAGCCTGTAAGTGATACAGGCAACAGACTAAAAGAATTGGAAATTATTTTATGTATATTGTGAAGAGAAGTGTGCAATATGCCACCACTGTACATAAATACGTATAAATATGAGAAATAAATATGTGAAATGGACTTTAAGACCTTCAATTAATTGTTTAAAGTAATTTTGATAAACCAATATGTTTCAGGCATTGCTTGAATATCATGTTGTAAGAGTAGGCTATGATTATTATAAGGAAATGTCAGGTCTGCTAAGTGTAATATTCCCATAAATATTCATAAGCATTTTTAATCAGATATTAGGAATAATAAAATATCCTGCAAGAAACAGCTGGCCTATCACATGGAGATGGTATTCTTCAGGAAACATGCAGTGTGAAATTTGAGAGGCACACATTTCTGTGGACTTACTGTTGCTATTTTGATCCGGATAATACACTCCCGTTCCACAATATATTCATAGCAGTGTTCAAACACCTTAATCATGCTGGGAATATCAATACCCACAGAACCTACAACAAAAACAGATGACAATGCAGCCTCAAAAAGTATCTGGTTTTGGCTTCATTAAAAAATTGCACAAACAGATGATGAACAAACTAAAACAGGCAAACAGTAAACAAGCACAAATTCATAAACAATTGATTAGTCAACAGTACAGCTTCCTGTAATTATTTTGTTATTACTGGACCCTAAGCTAGCTGAAAAACAAACAGGGTAATATCTTCAAAATGTAGGCCTCGTTCTGCATGTACGGTGCAGAAAAACTGATGAAAACTGACGAGAAGATTTTACTTGCAGAGATATCAGTTTACAAGTTTTCATGCGCGTTTCAATGAGTTTTATACATGTCTGCACGTGATACTAATGTTGTGATGTGAACAGGATACATAGAGAACAATTGATTTTGTTGTGCCCTTGCAGAATGCGTGCAGAAAAAAACAACATCTCTGAACCATGGTGTAAACAAGCCCTTATGGTCCTGGTTGGCAATCCAACTTGCTAGCACACTGGAATCCTGAGCAGCCATTAAAACTAGCACTCCATTACTGGCCAGATCTCTGCCATTATAGTGAGCCTCCCCAGATAATAGAGGACGTAAAATTCAATATACAAATCCATATCTCCATTAACTCATTAAAATTAGTTTTATCATTTCTGTTAGGATTCATGTCAATAGGTGTTCTAGGTAAATGTTGCATTTCCTGTACCAATGAATGCAGCTGCTTTTGAAAGTATCCAAATAAGTTTTACTTTTATATTCTCTTACTTTTTAATATTAGAGTCTTATTTAAGTAATTTTTTAAAAAGACATGCGTTTTCCATAAAATCATCAAGCTGTGTATAGCACGTGCATTTGTAGCTTCAAAATTTTTGTTTTCTAACATGGAAGACCCTGTCTATATTCTCCTCATTCAACCATAAATTTCTGAGCAATTTTTTTAAATGTAAATTTGACTTACCAGTAAATACCATATCTTGAAGTATACTAAAAGACAGGAAGCATAGACTAAAAGTTATATACCGCTACTTTCAAGTGACTGGACATTGGCATAAGCGTTGCTGGAAATGCCCCCAGTGCATCCTCATATACTGTAACCTCACCCACTCCATAGGACTACAGTTTTGTAGCAAGCAATTAGGAAAAACAGAGAACAGAGGGAAGGTACCTATTTCCTGTACTGTACTCCAAGATATGTAATTTGCTGCTAAGTCAAAATTCCATCTCAACTGTACAATGCAGGACAGGAAGTCATAGACCATGGGACATCCCAAAGGCTGAAAGCTCCACAAGGTAATACTTAGAGAAAGTATGCACAAAAAGACCAGGTGGTGACCTTGTAAATCTATGAATTGGATATTTGATACTTAAAGGCCCCTGATAGGGGAGGGGGAAACCATTCCTTGAGGGCGTAAGCTCTGGAAATTAGCTGCCTGTGCCACCTAGCAATGGTAGAAGTGGAAATAAGAAGTCCCTTCTTGGCACCTTAAGGGAGGTCAAACAGGACTCAATTTTTCTGAAGGAAGATTATGCAGCTGTAGGAAGACCCTACATGCTCTAACCACAACCAGGCAGTAGAGTGAAAAACCTTGGTGTGTTTTGCTAGATCGTCATCTGTTGAGCAAGAATGGCCAAAGACATATCAAGATTTGACTGGTCCCTGCTGAACCGTATTAATTTTGATCCATATTGATGGATGGTCAGCTGTAGAGAAGGATGCATGGGTGCTGAGAGGAGGTAGTAGCAGTAGTCTTGTTTTTTTTTTGTGCAGTAAAAGTATCTTCCCCACCAGACCTCTCCCCTCACTGCTTCTTGTGGTGGCTTGACAAGGGACTATACAGAACAGGATATGTCCTTGATCGCAGAGGGATAAAACCGTAGAATATTTCCTCCAAACTCTTGGGATGGAATTCTAAGCAAAACAAATTCTTTGAAAATAGGTATACAGTGGGGCAAAAAAGTATTTAGTCAGACACTAATTGTGCAAGTTCTCCCACTTAAAAAGATGAGAGAGGCCTGTAATTGGCATCATAGGTAGACCTCAACTATGAGAGACAAAATGATAAAAAAAATCCAGACAATCACATTGGCTGATTTGGAAATTATTTATTTGCAAATTATGGTGGAAAATAAGTATTTGGTCACCTACAAACAAGCAAGATTTCTGGCTCTCACAGACCTGTATCTTCTTCTTTAAGAGGCTCCTCTGTCCTGCACTCATTACCTGTATCAATGGCACCTGTTTGAACTTGTTATCAGTATAAAAGACACCTGTCCACAACCTCAAACAGTCACACTCCAAACTCCACTATGGTGAAGACCAAAGAGCTGTTGAAGGACTCCAGAAACAAAATTGTAGACCTGCACCAGGCTGGGAAGACTGCTCACCCAGGCGACTGTTTTACAATTATTTAATACTGTTTTTGTCAGTTTTCATACTTTGCGCTCCAGCTCAACCAGGCGTTTATTGTAGCTCAGCCAGGTGTTTACTGGTACTGTGATTGTGTTCTATTTTCTGATATACGTTTCACAAATGTAATACTGTTCTTGTTTTTTACACTATATTCCTCATCTCAGCCGGGTGTTGATTATAGGTTGGCCAGGTGTTTATTGCTACTTGATGGTGTTTTATTTTTGATATATGTTTCACATATCGTTTGGATTTAGTGGCTCAGCCAGTTTTCTTATTAACTACTGACTATTTGTTTCACAGATCTATTCATTTATACATTGGATTTGATGCTCAGGAGGGTCTTTGTTGTTAGTTTGTTTTTTGGGTCACTAGGAGACAGCACAGCACTATTCTTGGAGAGCAGCTATCATCCCAAGCGCCTTGCTGATTTTCCTTCTAAACTTTACCGTCTAAAGCACGATTACGATTAGGCCCTTTTTCTCAGCTCCTCTGTGCCTTGTCTCTGCCATTGCTAAGTGAGAGAATCACCTGTGGGGTACTCATGAAGCAATGTAGAATTAAAGGCTTTAAGCGTGTACAGGAAAGAAGCCACGATAACTCAGGGGCTGACCTATGTTCCATGGCTTTGTCTCTGGAACTGCAGGCAACTGGGAGACCAGCAGGTATGCTTCTTGCATTCTTGGTGGAAATGGACGGCAGAAATGACAGGTGGCGAATGCAGGATCCAGTGCTCAAAACAAACACTACAGACCAGCCTTACTGCTGTGGGATCCGGATATGGTTCCCAAAATGAACATTGAAAGCAACGGATTACGCAACTGTAGATGAGCCCTGAGGCAATAAGCAGTTAGATCTTGATAAAAGTGTCAGCAGAAGTAGTGACAAAAAAGATTAAAAAACTATGGTTTAAGAATCTTCTCCATAGGGGTTGGTGGGGTTATATGAGGGTGCACTGGTGGCATTCCCAGCAAAACTTTTGGCAATGTCCAATTACCTGAAGGTAGCGGCATAAAACCCATGTTCTGTGACTTGCTGTCCTGTTCTGTATGATTAAGATAGTTTGCTTTAAACTGGCTGATATATAACTTTTTTTTTCTGTGTGCAATTGTTGCTTTAAAAACAAACATTTAATACAAAGGATTCCCAGAGCTCAACAGAAAACAAAACCACAGCAAATGATGCTGGCTTTGAGGCTCATTTTGCTCAACTGAAACTTCAAACTCAAGCTGGTGACCCAAAGTTAGTTTCTTTTTTCATTCAGCCAGCAGTCTGATCTGGTTCTAATATAGATCTGATATAGATCTGTGAATTTACTATTTTCTGAGTTCATCCAAGTTTTATCAGACCCTTTTATCCAATTTTGGTCTGGTGATTCTTACTTTATTTCTGTCTTTAGCATCATAACCACAATGCCCCTTTGCTATGTCCATGGTGTGGGACTAGAAAGACTTGCACAGATGTTCTGTATTTGTGCCAGAAGCTTGTACAATGTTGCAGTCATTTCCAGTCTTGGTGACACAACACGACTATTGCCACCGCACTGCTCTTTGGCCTGCACCTGAACTTGCCAGTGGTCCTAATTACCAACACACAATCTGTTAAGTTACCCTCAAAAGTTCTTTACTTATATGACACAGCCAATCATTTGCATTTAGAACTCACCTATGCCTCAGCTAAATTTACATAAGCAAGCTTTTGGCATCCTGATGCAGAAAGCTCACTGGCGAGTTGTTTGCTAATCTTCTGCTAGCATTGTTAGCCTCTGGCTGCAATTCAACTGTCTTTTTTTTTTTCTTTAACTATTACTAGTTAACCATTACTGAAATTCAGTTAATTTATTATTGATTGCCCTGGACTGTTTTCTCATTTCACCAGCCTTTTTCATTATTCATATTAGTCTTTGTTCCATTCAGCTACAAGGCATGACAATTCTGAATCATTTCTCTAGGTCATTTTAAGGAGAATCTTCACTGCTCTCACGCTTCGATTTCTTAGAAAGCATTTTGTCATGCTATGCCCTCTAGGGACAACATTACCAAATCACAGCCTTGTAAATCTACTTCAGCTATTGCTCACAGCCATGCCCATTCTGGCCGTCATACTAATCTTCCTGAAGGTCACCTTGGCCATTTATTTTCCACCCACTCCACAAATTCCAAGACAAATCTTACCTCAGGTAGTCGGCCTTCAGCTACCTCCAGCAACTGCTACCTGAATTCTGTGTGTTGTCACCCGAGGTAAAATGGTCTCCTATGTTCTTAAACTCTACCCGAAGACAAAACACTACCTGATAAGCAAAATTATAATATAGTGGAAAGAATATTGGCCTCCACAAGATAGAAAAACTAGCACTGAAAGCGGTTGAAAGGCATACCGTTTTTGCCTACTTGCGTTGTCTGCATTAAGGTAAAAAACCTTCCAATATCAGCTCCTCCCAGCCTCCTTTACCACTTGCCTGACTCATCTTTCGATCCAGCACTGTGCTCGTCTGCAGCAGTGCTTTCACGGGAAACAAAGGCAGCAGCAGGAATCATTGGCTACTGTTAATCAAATCCTGTGAGTAAGGAGTGGGATGAGTGTCTATGGACACACAGCCTGGCTCTGGAGCATGTCCACACTTGCGCCTCCATAGCACACAGCTTGTTGAGGGGGCACGTGCAAGAAAAAGAGCTGACAGCAACAGCAGATGGCCCCAGAAGAGCAGGTAAGAGAAGCTGTGTGCAATGCTATGGCACAGAGCAGGTAAGTATAATATGTTTATTATTTTAAGAAAAATAAAATGCCTTTAAAACTGCTTTAATTTTTAAAAATGTGGGCATACTAGGACTAGGTTTTATCACTATATACATTAATCAGCAAGAAATCCTCTGTATAATCACAAAAGTAGCCACTTGACCATCCACAGTAAATCTATGCCCAGACTATACACACTAAAGTATTCACATATTTGGAATGGCAAAACAAGCCATTCTTTACCTCTGTAGCTATAGTCATTGTGGAGACATTAATCTTCAAATTTCATAACAAAGCCACAGAAATCTTAGCTCTTTTGCTATTACTTTCTATTGCAACAAAATCTGGGTAGCCTGTCAGCCTTCTAATGTAAGCACATAGCAGGTGTTTCTAAACCTTTCATTCACACCTAAGCATTTTGTAGAGTGTTTCCCTATGCCTCACTATGCTCACCATGCAGAATCCTTGTGTTTGTAATTAAGCCTGTTCAATGCTCAGTCACTGGTATGCTCAATGCTCTGTGCTCAAAGTTTCTAGTTTAATCATGTTTTTGGAAGACATCAACGGAATCACCTGTAAACTCACAACACATGTATTTTCACACGTCGCACCTGAAGAACTTTTTTCTTCTAGAACTGCTCTCCTCCCCTTGCCCAGCTCAGAAAACAAATGCCTGAAGCTTGATACAAATATAATTTTACAAAACTTTTAAGACTTTAAGAATGCAAAAAAAACCCCCTAAAAATTACCAGGAATATGCTCTGCTCAGGTGTGAATGTAGGCTAATCTGATAGAAACTGACTGGAAACTGTCCTTGTGATAATTCGGATGAATTACTTAATAGTGCAAGTGATGACTTGCTTTAAAGCTAATTTACTGCTTGTTAAGAGTGTTTAAAAAACTTTACGGTCTATAATCGGGACTCAGGTGCATTTTTGTAAAGCTCAATTAGATCAATATCTCATTTCAGGAGACAGCCTACTTGGCAGAAAAGTGTCACAAGCATCTGATAATATTAAGTGTTCTCTGAAAAAGGAGTGTTGTGCTCACATAATATTCATTTTGGTTGATGCACTTCTATCTGGAAAGCTTCTTAAAGATAAATTCCAAGTGTGGATATTTTATACATAGTTACATTAGTCTGGTTTGGACCAATGTACCTATGTATATAACATACCTGGCCGATGACCCTGGAAACTGGAAATCACTGAAGTAGACAGCGCTGCTCCTGTGACCAGGTCCCCTGCTAAGCAGCTGGCCTAATGCATCGTGAATACAGTAGGTTGGCCGCTCAGCACAGGTGCCATATAGAGAATGCTTTGCAATTCTTGAAGGAATGCAAAGCATTCTTTGATTGGACAAGGTGGAGAGGCAGAGCAGCATCACAATCTCCACCTCATCCATCAGACAGCGGTTTGCATTCATTTAAAAAAAAAAAAAAGCAAAGCCTTCTCTGAATGCCGCCCATGCTGAGAAGCTGACCTCCTGTGTTCACAATGCATCTGGCTGGCCACTCAGCACGGGACCCAGAAGCAAGTAGAATACTACAGTAATTTCCAGCTTGCAGGGACATTGGCTAGGTATGGCATATACATAGGTACATTGTTCCAAGTTGGAACAATGTAAAAATATACCACACCTGGAGTTCATCCTTAACCTCTTGGCGCCGGCCGAACGCAAATGTGCGGCCGCACATTTGCGTTCTATTAAAAAAAAAAACATATATGCTGAGAGCGCGCGCCCTGCTCGCTCCCAGCACACATGTCCGGTACTCACGGAAAGGTCCCGATCTCCTCTTTGGACTGGGACCTTTCCCGCTCATGTGACCGCCATGATGGCATGTCACGGCGGTCACATGACCATAAACCCCGCCCCCGGCTTCTAAAACCCTTAAAGGGCCAGGAGGCACAGGCGCCAAGGCGATAATTATATTGACTACTGCTTTTTAGTGTCTTAGTTCAGCAACTATAACACTGAAGAAAAATAGGAGCTGCACACGTTTATACAGGAGATTTTATGCTTTTCGCTTGCCATGTCTATTAGATAAGAGAACAATAGTTGAGCATACCCTGGTCCCATTCACACTCAAAAGAAAAGGAATTAACAAGGACTACAAAATCTCTTTTTTGTAGCTGTCATTCACTACTAAGTTAAGCTGCGTGTAGCCACGCTCTCTCTACCATGATTCTAACACTACTAAGATTGTTCATTTCCATACCTCTCTTGCTCTTCGGAATTTTTTTCCTCAGTTTGTTTTTAAGAAGATGCAGTTTTGAAACAATTTCAGGTGTTGCTATATAGAAATCTGCTTGCATGTCATCATTCAGAATCTGAAAAAACAGCAACCTATTAGTTTTGCATTTCATTAAATGTATAAATCTGAATAAAGTTTAAAAACACCCTGTCACTAACTCATACATTTCATTTTGACCACCAAGAAGTGCTAGGAAGCAACCAAGCCTACCTTTCTTTTATCAGATTCATTTGTTTAAGCTCACTTACAGACAGTTTCACTGCTTCGGAAATTGACAATACCAAGAGTGTAGGACCCTCCTGGACCCCTGCTGCTCATGCCCCCCAGTTCTCTAGAAAATGCGGTCTTTTCTTTTCTTTTCATAGTCCTTACAGTTTTTTCTGTTCCCAGAAGCTGTGTGAGGCATTGAATTTCCATGTTATGAACCTCTGCATTTGGCAATAGTATTATTCAGCAATGCTATTAGCTGAGGTCACAAGGCTGAACAACAGCACAAGCAGAAGAAAGCACAATAAAGATGCATTTAGCTGGGATAGCAATGTGAATATGCAGGATCCCTGTGCAGTATCATTTGGTTGACAGAACCATAGCTGCTGGCATGATGGACAAGATGGCAGTGCCCAGTAGCAAACAAAGTGTCGTTTATGACCAAGAGATATTGGGGGAATGGTGTTGTAGATACCCTTTAGAAATGTATTGGGCTTCCTCACTATAATGTTAAAAACCGTTACATGAACCTGACGCAGGCCAGCACTAAGGTTTAAAGTGTTCATATTGGACACCCCTTCTTCAGTACACTCCCTCCCTGGCCACTATGCTAGTCACACTGACAGGAGTGAGGTCAGGGAGACTGTTGTATAGCTGCTGGAGGGACAGTGCCAGAGGTAAGCACTTGGGAGGGTGTAGGGCCAGGGTTAGATGATAAAGAGGGGAAGTGAAGTCAGGGAGCTCCTGCACAATTGTGGGTGCTGATGTGCTTCTGGGGTTCAGCAGAGCTGGCTGTGTATTGTTGGGCCCCTTCATTCACTACTGGATTTTGTGATTCCTCCGTGTGTGCCTGTGGCATTGGCAGAGATTGATGGGGAACTCTGAGAAACTAGTTTCCCATTAGGTCCTCCTTGCCAGTGACTGACAACGGATAGCAGTGGGCGTATTCCATAGCTAGTATTTAGTCCAGCAGCAGCTCTGTAATCTGTCCACTGGCATTCGCTGTCAATCACAGGGAAAACTGACCTGATGGGGAATTGGTCTCAGAGTTCCCCATCGGGCTCATCCCACAGGTGCAGAGGCCTTAGATTTGAGTTGTCAGGTGGGCAGAGGCTGATGAGGAACTCAGACTAGTTCCCCGACAGTTCTGCCCTGCTTGTAATTGACAGCAGATGACAATGGGTGGATTCCAAAGCTGCTGCTGGATTGAATAGAGACAATTATATCTTCTGACTGCTATCCAGGGTGAATCACAGGCAAGGCAGACCTAATGGGGAACTAGTCTCTCAACGTTCCCCATCAAGCTCCATCCACTGTTAGTTCAGCATGACCCACATCATTGGCTGCTGGGACGCTGGTGGTCTTAGTCATAGCAACCAATGAAGTAAATGTAACACATTCAATCATCTTACTAAAGTAATGAACCCACAACACCACACCCCTCCTTCTGTATGCCAACTTCAACTTGGTCTTCGTTACTGCCAGTTTACTTATATGAGAACTGGTGGTAATTTTATTATAATCTGTTGCAGCCATAGGGACAGATAATAAAGTGGAGGTTTTAGGAACTAGCTGTTGCAAAGCTTTTAGGAATTAGGTGCAAGCAATGTTAAAAGGCTATACTACCAGAAAAGTGACACTACTGCATTATTGAATTCCTCAGATTGTACTCTACACATATATGCAGGTATTTGAGGTAAACCCCCAAAGTGCCATATGCCTAATATACAACACCAACCGTATACTAATAATAAAGTTATACATAACTTTAAGCAAACAGAATTCCAGGCAAGCATATAGTACATAGTACATTTAGCTCATAAACATTTGGTATATTTTTAAAACTTCAATAAGTATCTTGACCTGTAATTTTTCTCTACGTTCTCCTACCAGCTGAAATATGTTATCATGGGCTGATAAGCAAATTTAAAAGGGACTATAAAGCAGTGAATCTGACATTCAGCAAACATGCACTGCAGCTCAATCTTCCAGATGCATGTGTTTTAAATTGGCAGTGACTGATTTACCCTCACTGAGGGCTAGTTCACACCACCTGCGTTCCAGTGCATTTTTTTTCTGCATCAAAAACGTATAGAAAGTATATTACATAGTTTTCAATGGCATAGTTCACACCAGTGCTTGCAGTCCCAGTTCTAGAAAAAAAAAAAAAAAAGTTGAACATGCTGCGTTTTTCCTGCACAAAACTGTACTGGAATGCGGAAAAACACATTAAAAACGCACCAAAACCCAGTACAGTGATAAAAAAACAGAAAAAGAAGAAAAAAATTTCAATTAGAGCACATCCAGAAACACATCAACACAATGGAACGCATCAAAAACACGTTACAAACAGGTACGCATTCAGAACAGATTGGGAGTGCGTTTTTGTGGTGTGAACTAGCCCTGAATGTTTAGTGTAAGTCACATGCACTACTTTGAAAATATAATTCTGAAAGTCTGCAAGAACACAACCCTGACCTGTCCCAATATACAGCAATGGTTTGTTTTCCTAAGAAATTCCCTTTTGATTTGTGTGAGTATGTGGAAGAATTTGCTCTTTCTTATTTAATATGGTAAAGCAGATGAAACTGCTAAGCATGAAAGCGACAATTGGTAACCGGTAAAGAAGCAGTGTACTTTTTTTTCTTTCAATGTTTTAATGTTATTACTCTGAGATCTACTAGTGGAATCCTACTGCCATTATATGATCAGTTATGCACATGCGCTTCTGAGTTAAAAAAAAAATAATACCTCAGGGATGAGTTCAGGCCCTCCAACAACTGCAGCTCCATTGTTTTTTGCAATTTCAATATCTTCTGCATTCTGTTAGAGGTAAGCAAAAAAAAAAACAAACATTCAGATCTCAATTCCTTATCAGTATTTGCGTATCAACATAAAATAATTTTCTTTCCTTTTATTTTCCTGTAATTCCAAATACTGACAGAAACAGCAGATGTAAAGAAATCCCATCACTTCTTCAGATTCCACATTCCTCATACCTTTCTAATGCCAACATTCACTCAGTCACAAAATGACTTTGCAAGGCCAAATAGCATGCAGCAGCTGTGCTCTACTACTGAAACCAAACCACAGAACACCCTACATGCCCACAATGAGCAATGAGTAAAACTCATCTTTTGCTATTTGGTTCTGCGTGGCTGAAATTTTTTCACATACTTCAAAAGGATGAGTTAACACAAAAAGCACTGATATTTGTATGGAATCATTTTAGGAATGGAGTTGGGGATATCATTGGACATGGGGAACATCTAAAGACCTGTGCAAGAAGTACAAGAATCAGGATGAAGACTTGGCTTATCTGCATTCATTAACAACAGAAACAGTCTGTGGCCTTTAAAAAGCAACAGAAGTGAAAAAAATTATACTTAGTAGTAAATTGCTAATGCTGTCTAGCTGTAAATTGGAAAGTCTGCTCAACTTACCTTAATGTGGGCTTGTGGTGGTGTTCACATCAAGCCCGACTTTGAAATCGTGTGACTTACAGTGAAGTCGCATGATTTCAAATTCGGGGGACCCGCCAATTTCAGGTGCGATTTGCAAGACATCTGATGTCAATGCAAATCGCACCAAAAGTAGTGCATGTACTAGTTTTGAAATTGGTGCGGCTCTGACCAAGTTGGAACAGCACCAATATGACCACTCCAATTGCAGACAATAGGGTCGCAGGGCATGCAAATCGCACCAATGTGAACGGGTATTAGGCACCTTTCATGGGCGTTTTGCCATTCTGCAATTCACAGCGACAGGAATCCACTGATTCCTGCTGATGGGATTGACAGATAGATGCCATTAGCTGCTACCACTAAGGCCATGCACTGCAAAGGCTGGCTGTCAGCAGCTACAGCTATTCGTGCCCGCTAGACTCCCATCGTGGGAAAACACCCATGCTAATGGTGCCTAATCCACTATCAGAGAGCTTCTTCCATGTGTTTTTGGTGTATCTTTCTCCTGAAGCCTGGGCTGTGTAACTTACTTTCTCTGATCACTCTTTCAACATCAGATTCAAAATCTGATCAGTGACTGTGAGAGACTTTTCATTACTGATGCTTTAACATAAAAGGTTTTTCAAAGACAGAAGGAAGCCTACAATGAGTGTTTTTTGGATCACCTTTTCTGTAGTACAAACCTAGATTACTGGCAGAAGGCAGCAGTGTACTGCAGCTATACCTGAATGTGGATGCTGACTAATCGGTACCAAAATGCTGGTTGATTGGCTGTCACAATGATATTCTTCCTTCAATGCTTCAAGAATTCAAGGACCAAACATACATTTTTCAGGGTACTGCTAGGGCACAATTATTAATTTTAGAAGTTCCGCATTATGCGGCAAAACTCTGTAGAATCAAATACAGTTTAAGGCAACAATCTGTAGTGTGCAAATAAGAAATTCTGACTGCATTTGAAGCATTTAAGCTAGTGCATCAGCATAACAGCCGGATAAGTAGGAATATAAAACTGTGCGGTGGCAACACATGTAGCTCTGAGCAGGTACTTTGTGTTCCCTGCAAGCATCTTTAATTTTTTATTATGATTAAGTGGTATTAAAGTATCTATCCACCTAAAACTAGTAAATGTAGCTCGGGGTAGATGCTGGAGGGTTGAATGACCTAATAACTGATATCGCTAAGATACCCAGGAGCTCTGTTTCTAACTGCACCCAAATGTGACAACCCTTGGTGGCTATGGGGGGCATGGCAAGGAATGAGGCACACAAGGAATTCTAGCACTGAGTTCTCAGCCCAGTTCTAAACTCATAATGATATAAGAAGTCATAATTTAAGAGATTTGGGAGAGTTGACCATTCAATATGTTTTCACACAAAATTAGATATGGGTCAAGCTAAGTTAAGGGTGTGCAACATCTTACCTATGTTGCTTCATTTTTATATAACAGAATTCTTTTGTTGCACACACAAAAACCACCAATATAAGACAAAGATGTCACTTTTTTTCTCTTCACAATTCTCTAATATCTGAGAATAGTCAGGGACAGCAACCTTTGTTGTTAGTTCTCCTTGGGAGCATAAAGACCACTTCTAAACGGGGAAAGGGAAAAAGACTCCTCTTTTCCTACAAACACTATTTACTATCTTTTGATGAAGGTTAATTAAAACCTCTATACAGTGTTGATACACACGGTTTTATATAGAACAAGGAATTACAGTAATATGAAAGATTTTTCTACACAGCTAAACAACTGCATAAAATCAAATAAATAGAGCTTATGACAAACCTTTTTGTGTGGGTAATTGCAACGCTTTTTAATGCAAAGAGATGGTGTAGTAATGATAGTGGTATACACTTCAAACATCCAGAAGACTTAAGATTTTACATATAAAAGATAACAGAGTGTGTGTATTCTCATTATTATAGAGTTTATGAACTTCTGGAATGTTATTTTGTAATTACATTCAGCCTGGGTTCACACTGATGCGGTATGGAATTCACACCGGTTTCTGTGTGACTTCCGCACCGCATCATGATCACACCCTGTTCATGCAGAACCGCTGTGGGTGTGTATGTTAAGTTAACAACAACCCGAAATCAGTTCGCAAAACGAGGTGCGATGTGCAGAATTGGATTACATGGGTGTGAATACCCATGCAATCTAATTCTGGTGCGAATAAAAAAAGGGTCCTGCACTATTTTGGTGCGGATGCGATCTGAGCCATACGAAATGTATGGCTCAAGTGGCACCGCACAGAAATCGCATGTGATTTGCACAGGATGCAGGTGCGGTTCCTGTGCGAATCACGTGCCATGTGCCGCACCACATCAGTGTGAACCCAGGCTCAAAGTGAAAAAATCTGACCTGCATCAAGTGAACCACTAAACAATAAAGGAAATTAAATAAAGATGGCTGCTGCTTTTATTTAATTTCCATACAACCTGATTGTGCAATGTTCTGTTTCTTTGCACTTACCTCTGTAAATACTAAGATTTTGTTTACTTTATTCTCAAACGGGAAAGGGAAAGTAATGTAACCAACAAAAGGGTCCACCTTTTTCTAAAAATAAAAAATGTAGATGTCAAGAAAATGTGTGGTATCAAGTCTTTAAGCACATATACTGTATATGTTTATACACAGACACATAAACTGGTAAAGATTTTATAAAAACATCAATAATAAAATTTTAACCTTTAAAATTATCACTCACAAATGAGCAAATGTTTAGTGCCATAGAGTAATATAAAGTAGCCAGGTAAATTGGAAAAAATAGTTACTAGCGGGTAGATATTTTTTAGTAAAGGAGATCTTGTATGTTTTCTGCCCCCAAAACCTTTTTTCTTTAGCAGTTTGTACACTGCCTAGAGATTATGCACAGTACAGTGTACGCTCTTAGCCCACTCTGGGCATCTGTGGTCACCTAATGGAAGAAAAAAGATGTAAGATGCAGAAGGCAGCAGAGAATGAAAGACTACATGTGCTCCTCTATGGATAATAAATAGAGTAGGTGTACCTAGTAAAGTGGCCACTGACTCTGTGTGCAATGCATACTGTACGGTATACAGATTGAATAATTCTACGCACCAATGCCCATCTACTGCTAAAACAGGTTTGTGTGTACTGACCTTTTAACCAAAGTCATTATAATTGGATACTATTTAAGAGCTAGGCAGCAACTGGGGGCCACTCTTTTAATGCCTATGCCAAGATTATTAACACACAGTAATTACCTTTTTTTCCAGCTTCATGTCCAATTTGAGTTGGAGATACACTGCTTGATCTGGGCTGGTAAAATCTAACTTCTGAAAGGTTTTTAGCATCTCTACTGCCGTTTCTGGCTGAATACTTTGCTTGGGATAGTAACGAGCGACATAAACATCATCAGTGGGTTTCCAGGCTGCAAAACCAAAGGGCTTGATGCGGCTTGTGTCTTTTCTTTTCTCTCCTAGCTCCTCTTTTGTTACAATCTTTACTTCTTTTTCTTTTTTTATGACCTTTTTGCCCCGTCTACAAACAATGAAAACAGTTGAAAGCACTGAAATATATGAAGCCAAAGAACTTGTGGGAACCATTCAACACCCAATTCTGTTATGTGACACAAGTCAAGCATCCTTTGTAATAAACAGGTTGTGTGTAATTTTTTTTAAAAAAAAAATGCAGTGACAGGTAAGTGATCAAGCTCTTGACTGCATAGATGGAAAAATGCCCTAACTTCAAGTGCACTGCAAAGTGTGCTGGTCATACTCATAAGTAATAACATTACCTTTACAGAAAAAAAAAAATCACCCTCCCTATCCCACAAATTTAATCTAAGCTAGAGCGCCGGCTCAGGTGCCTACGTAAAGTGTTACTAAACCCACAACAGTAAAATCAGTCTGTATATGCAGTAAAGCATGCTTGATATATTCACTATGGAGCCTAAGGGGTTAATCCTATGCATTGTGTAAAAATGCTATTTGATCCGGACTTCTCTGATCCTCTTCTTCCAGTGTCCCGCTCTTATCTCCTGATAAGACAAATCGTGTAGACACACTCTGCACATGCTCAGTTTGGTGTGTATTGTTACAGAGGTTTTATTTTTCTTGGGAGAGAGCATGTGATCAGCACAGGGCCAATCAGCACTGTCCAGACAGAGGTCAGGGGTTCTGCATCCTCCTAGAGCAGAAAGAAAGCTCCTGCTACAAGCTTTAACCAGTGCTCTTCTGAACACTGATAGAAGTCACAAGACTGCTCTAACTGCTGATTAGAAAAGGTACTTGGCACTTTATAATTCCATGTAGTTTGTACTGTGGGAGACCAGAATAGTGAATGCAGGGTCCTGGGTTTAGTAACACTTCAATGTTTATGTAAAGCCAACCTTTTTTTTTTTAGTTTCGTTAGAAACTCAGCAAAAATTTTTGCTGAGTTACGGTATATGTTTCATTGTGGGACCTATTAGCAGTACATGAATCTGCACTGATTATACATTATTGTATGTTACAGGGGTAGTATATGCTCTGTAGCAATTTTATAATTGTATGTATCATTTTACGTCTATGTATGTATGTATGTGTGTATGATAAAGTGATAGTCTTTTATTAATCATTGTTGTAGTGCCTATAAAGTCCATAAGGGTCTTTTTTTTCCAATATAACTTGAATAGGATGTGGCACTCTGGTGCGATGTTCATATCCCCACAGTAACCACCCTGTGTTGGGAATTGATTCCCACCTTTCTATTATTATTATTATTATACAGGATTTATATAGCGCCAACGGTTTGCTCAGCGCTTTACATTATAGTGGGAGACAATACAGTAACAATACAGTTCGATACAAGAGGGAATTGAGGGCCCTACTCCTTGGAGCTTACAATCTAGGAGGGAGGGGTGAGTGGTACAATAGGTAATAACTGTAGGGGATGGAGTGGTTGGAAGAGTAGAGGATTCCAGTATTAGCAGAGGGCGGGATAGGCTTCCCTGAAGAGATAGGTTTCTACTTTTATGTTATGTGAGTGAAACGTTTGTGCTTAATAAAGTGTTTAGTATATTTTATGGGGTTGCACTATGAACTACTCTTTCTTCTCTTGAGCGTTCATTATCCCAGTGGAAACAGCAGATTCTGATCTCTTAAAAGGGACAGTATGGGTGAAGTAGCTGATAATGAGTGGAAGCAGAGGTGCATAGACTGATCAACTAAACACGCTTGTGACCTATTATATTGTAGGTCAGAACAAAAGGTGACCGTGCATTGCACATGGAGGTGATGGGAAGTTATTGTGGACACTTGAGCACTATAAAGGATATACTTTTCTGAATTGATTCCGTTTGAGCACTCGAACACTTGATTGAGAGCAATTTTTTTTTTTTGCTACAGTGAGTGCATACATTTATGTTTCTATTATTGATTTGTATATACGGTATTGCACTATGAGATATTTGTTTTGTTTTTGAGTTATATTTCACACTTAGAGTCACAAGGGCAGGCTTTAGTGAAGAAATCGTCTGATTAAGTAGCCAATACGAGTTCGAAGCAGACATGCAACCATTAACTAAAACAGCGCATCTGACCTATATTAACGTGTAGGTCTAGTCATAAGGTGAGCAAGAATTGCATTTATAGGGGCCGTTCACAAATTGATGGACTTATATAGACTATAGGAAGAATTTTGTTTTGAAGAATTGGACACCATAGTAGGATTGGAACATTACCATTTTATTTGGGATTTAGGTTGATTGATTTACACTTTTAAAGGGATAGCGCACCACATTTATTTAGTTTATCATGTGAAACATAACATGTATGAACAATCGCAAACAAAATTGAGAGTCATAATAGCTTGTAAAATTGACAGTAACCTGAGGCCAGGGGTAGGGCTTGCATCATATATAGGAGTAGTACAGGTGTTCATGGGATAGTAAAGAAGCAGGAGATAGAGAAAAGGTAGATAAAAAAGGGAAAGGAGAAAAGAACGGCACAGGAGGAAGAGGGACAGGGGGTGGTGGCAGTCCCATGACGACCCATGACGTAGTGAGAAAACCGCGACCAGTATAACCTGGTTGTTTAAAGCGGCGATCAAGAGTCCCTAAAGGACAATGAGAAATCCAGGGGTCCTAAACTCGCCTAAATTTTGGCATAGTGCCTTGCAGTTTAGCTGTGAGTTTCTCATTGATTAAAACCCTTTGCATTGCAGGCTGTAACCTCAGCGAGTGACAGTGTATCAGACAACCAAGCTTTCGCTATAGGCTATGATCCTGTCAGGACATGGACCATCAGAGCATGTTGTTTCTGAGTGATGTCAGCTGGTCGTAAATTGAAAAGAACTTCTTGTGGTCTCATAGGTATGGGCTTTTGCTATGCAAAATGTCATAGACTTGGGTCCAGAATGTATGCCCATGTCCGGGCAGCCGCAAAAGCATGAGGAAGGGTTGGATGAGTATGTTCGAGCTAGTTTGGAAGGTACCATGTACTTTACAATTGGTCTCGACCAATCCAGGATTTAGTATAGTTTTTAATAACACTCCCTTACTAAACACTTTTTATACACCTAACAAAATGGTTTAATTGGTTTACAACTTACACCCAAAAATATAAATTCTAGATACTTACATTTTAACACCTGCTGGTATTACATAGAATCTTAAAGCTCCCCAGTTTCTGTTAGAACATGTGCATGATGGGATGCCCAATCTTGGCTGCTGCACAATATGCCTTTGACAGCCATGGATGACTAAAAGATAAAACATATTACTACAGCAATGAAGGTTTCTGTATGCAGCACATATGACATTTACATATAATATGACTTTGATGCCAATATACAGTGTAAAGACAGCAAAATATTGCCTCTGCCAATCATAACGTTCGTGCTGTGCAGTAAAATTAAAAGGTGGCTGCTACATTTGACAAATGAGTACATCAAACAACACTATCGCACCCACTAGGATTCAGCAATTTAGACCCAGTGCTGTGTAGCTAAATACATACAGTATGTGCCAGTGCAAAAAAACTATATTTAGAGTATGCTTTTAAAGAGCATTTTACTAAAGTTCTGTGAAAAGCCTGAAAATAGGTAAGTATAGACATCTTTTTAATACAGCTTAGTTAACATAGATGTTAGGAATGGGGAGGGGACAGTTTTAGGAGTAGTTAGGATGAAGCTGGAATTCCACTTTAATATGTCTTTTAATGTCATATTAAAGTGGAATTCCAGCTTCATCCTAACTACTCCTAAAACTGTCCCCTCCCCATTCCTAACATCTATGTTAACTAAGCTGTATTAAAAAGATGTCTATACTTACCTATTTTCAGGCTCCACCATTCCAGTCACATGATCCCGCTGCCATGTTTCAGCCAGCACTGCTGCAGAGGAGAAGAGTAGCGCCATCAAGGGTTGAGCTATTAAAGCCTATGAGAGACATCACTGCTCCGAGCATAACCAGCCATTGTCGGAGTGCACTCTCCTGCAGCCAGTGCCGGCTGATACAGAAGGATCACACAACCAGACCAGAGTGAGCTGAAAATAGGCAAGTATCCACTTAAGGAGCAGGCCTTTTTCTAACACTCATTGTCTACAAGTAAAAATCAGTCATTTTTGCTAGAAAATTACTTAGAACCCCAAAACATATTTTATATATATATATATATTTTATATATATATATATATATATATATATATATATATATATATACATACATACATACACACATATATACACATACACACACACAGTGGGGATCGAAAGTTTGGGCACCCCAGCTAAAAATTTGTATTAATGTGCATAAAGAAGCCAAGGAAAGATGGAAAAATCTCCAAAAGGCATCAAATTACAGATTAGACATTCTTATAATATGTCAACAAAAGTTAGATTTTATTTCCATCATTTACACTTTCAAAATAACAGAAAACACAAATAATGGCGTCTGCAAAAGTTTGGGCACCCTGCAGAGTTAATATCTTGTACTGCCCCCTTTGGCAAGTATCACAGCTTGTAAACGCTTTTTGTAGCCAGCCAAGAGTCTTTCAATTCTTGTTTGAGGTATCTTTGCCCATTCTTCCTTACAAAAGTCTTCCAGTTCTTTGAGATTTCTGGGCTGTCTGTCACGCACTGCTCTTTTAAGGTCTATCCATAGATTTTCAATTATGTTGAGGTCAGGAGATTGTGAAGGCCATGGCAAAACCTTCAGTTTACGCCTCTTGATGTAATCCCCCGTGGATTTCGAGGTGTGTTTAGGATCATTATCCATTTGTAGAAGCCATCCTCTCTTTAACTTCAGCTTTTTCACAGATGGCATCAAGTTACCATCCAAAATTTGCTGAAATTTTATTGAATCCATTTTTCCTTCTACTCGTGAGATGTTCCCTGTGCCACTGGCTGCAACACAACCCCAAAGCATGATTGATCCAACCCCATGCTTAACAGTTGGACAGAGGTTCTTTTCATTAAATTCTGTGCCCCTTCTTCTCCAAACGTACCTTTGCTCATTCCGGCCAAAAAGTTCAATTTTAACCTCATCGGTCCATAGAACTTGTTTCCAAAATGCATCAGGCTTGTCTATATGTTCATTTGCAAAGTTCAAACGATGATTTTTGTGGTGAGGACGTAGAAGAGGTTTTCTTCTGATGACTCTTCCATGAAGACCATATTTGTACAAGTATCTCTTTATAGTGGAATAGTGTACCACAACTCCAGTGTCTGCCAGATCTTTCTGGAGGGATCATGCAGTCAAACGTGGGTTTTGAATTGTTTTTCTCACAATCCTGCGAGCTGTTCTGTCTGATATTTTTCTTGGTCTTCCAGATCTTGCTTTAACTTCCACTGTTCCTGATGACTGCCATTTCTTAATTACATTCCGAACAGAGGATATTGACATCTGAAACCGCTTTGCTATCTTCTTATAGCCTTCTCCAGCTTTGTGAGCGTCAACTATTTTCAGTTTCAGTTTTCTAGACAACTGCTTAGAAGAACCCATGGTGCTGATTGTTGGGGCAAGGTCAGATGAGTCTGGGCATTTAAAACCTTTGAGATTGACATAACCTGGTCTTCCCAGATGATGATTGAGAACAATCCATGACACTGGCAGGTCTCAGCTTTGCAAAGGGGGCAGTGCATGCTATAAATTCTGCAGGGTGGCCAAACTTTTGCAGACGCCATTTTTTGTTTTCTGTTATTTTGAAAGTGTAAATGATGGAAATAAAATCTAACTTTTGTTGACATAAGAATGTCTAATCTGTAATTTGATGCCTTTTGGAGATTTTTCCATCTTTCCTTGGCTTCTTTATGCACATTAATACAAATTTTTAGCTGGGGTGCCCAAACTTTCGATCCCCACTGTGTGTGTGTGTGTGTATATATATATATATATATATATATATATATATATATATATATATATATATATAGTTTTAGCAGAGGCCCTAGAGAAAGTAAAATGGTGCTCTTTGCAATTTCTTATGGTTTTTACAAACGATTTTTAAACCCAATTTTTTTTTTAAAAAAGCAATTTAATGAAATAAAAACCCCCCAAAAAAACACAATACATACCCCAATTTTTTTTTGTAAAACGTGAAAGATGATGTTACGCCAAGAAATAGATACATTATGTGTCATGCTTTAAAACACTCATGGAATGGAGCCAAACTACGGTACTTAAAAATCTCCGTAGGCGAATCTATAAAAATTCCTACAGGTTAGCAGTTTAGACTTACAGAGGAGATCTAGGGCTAGAATTATTGCTCTCGCTCTGACATTCACCGTGATACCTCACGTGTGGTGGAAACACCATTAACATATGTGGGCGTGACCTACGTATACACTCACCACACAAGCATGGGGGGACGGGGCTGCTTTAAAAAAATGTATGATTATTTTATTACTTTTTTCATATTTACACTGTCCCTGTAAATTTTTTTGGATCACTTTTATTGCTATTGCAAGGAATGCAAACATCCCTTGCGAAAACAATACAGCATGACAGGTCCACTTTATGGAGAGATCTGGGATCTGTAAGACCCCCAAATCTCTCCTCTACCTTTAAAAGCAAAAAAGCTTAAAAAAAAAAAGTTTTTAAAAGCAAAAGATGGCCTTGTTGACATTTGGCTGGAACTGTGGAACTGGAAGTAACGTCATGACATCGCTCTGGTACTCCTAGGCCATAGAGATGAGTAGAGGCCATCTTTCCTTCACTCATCTCTATACCCTGCCGCCGCCAGCGCCAGATTAGTTCCCAGGCTCACTGATCATCCAGGTAAGCCCGGTAACCACCAAAAAGTGGGGGGTTACCCCTCCTGCTGCTTCTAAAAGTGATCCAGCGCCGAATCCACTTAGAACACTTTTAAAAGAAAGACCGGTGCCTAAAGGAAAAAATAATACTGGAGTTATGGCATCTAGGTGCAGCCATAACCCCGGTATTAAACATCAAAAACATGACGTATTTTCCCAGTTAGGTCGTCAGTGTGCGGGTATATACATTGTTCTTACACAGGTTAGTTAGCATAGGTGTTGGAAGAGGAGAGGAGGCAATTTTAAGACTAGTTAGTGTGAAGCTGGATTTGAACTTTTAAGTGTTAACTGACATGCATCATTAGAACAACACAGACCTGATAAAATATAGTTTTCCAAAGTCGTTTGGTAATGCACATTTGACATGCGCCAAACAATATAGTGTGCCTATGTTGAAGAAAATTTGCAACGTGCCCCAGAAACTGGAAAATTGCAAATTGTGATTTGTTGTGGGAACATTGAAGTTTATGAGTGACAACAGTGCAGATATTAGTCACAGGTCTCTTAACAGATACCTACCAAAGGAAGACTGAAAAAGGAGAAACTGCCTCTTCCCTCGACCTGGCTGAGCAGAGGGGAGAAGGTGGCCAACAGGTTTTGATCACTTCCTGATCACAAGGAAGAGTGGAAACGCAGCTATAGTTACACTGCTCCCTACTCAGTGACAGTGTGTCATCACCGAGAGGCATTGTGCCATGTACAGTTTATTGGAACCATTGTATCTAGTAGATTAGGCAGTAATGAATATTCACATACCTGCACTGACTGGGTGAGTTAAACATAGGTAACCTTGATTTAGACTTTTATTAAACTTGTCATGAGAGATATCTAGGGGCTGCCATTACTTTCTTCTGGAAATGCTAGTTTCATGGCCGTCATGCTGCCCCACACAGGCTTTTATGTTTTCCAAGTCACTGCCCATTCACACGACGTGCCTTGGGCTTCGTTACTCAACTCAAGCTGAAAATTCATTTTTCCATTATTCATGATTCCAACAGGCATTACGTTGGTGTATGCTGGGTGAAAATAGAACTTGCTGCCTTTGAACTGCGTGCTGGAATGCAGGTTAAAGCAGACCTTCGCACAGAGAAAAATAACTTTGCAGCATTCTAACTATACCCTCTCCACAATTTAAAAAAAAAAAAAAAAACACCCACCGCAGGCCCTAATGTCATCTAGGTGAGAATGACATGTCATCATCCTGCACTCTTGAGATGCTGTTGACACATATCCCAGGAGACATTTGCTTCCCCACAGTGTCAAATGAGCCTTCATTCATCTCATGCCACAACATCAGGGAGCTAGCTGCATGAACCAGGAAGGGACAGCTGGCTCCTAATGATAAAGAAAATGAAGATGGCAGCTGACAGTATGTGCAGTGGAAGAGTGGCAGGAGGCAAAAGGACAAGGCAAGATTCACTGAACTTAAAAGGTTGCTTTTCCTGGA